TATATTTTTTTTTTAAAAAAATAGCTATATTGAAGTTTTTTTAGCAAAATATTCAAGTTGACAATAGGTCAACAGATAAAAAATATAGCAAAGCAGTGATGTATTAGCAAGTGACAATCACATAGGTAATTCCAGTTTTGATAAAAAAATCCAGTGTATACAAGGGAAAGATAAGTAGAAATTTAATGAAATTACCAATTCAGGAGTTTATGGCATAAATACTAATATAACTAAATTTAGCAGGAATGTATAACAATAACAGATATAAAACAGAAGAATAGCAGGGCAGTACAACAGTGCTGGCATAGTAATAGATATTTTGAGTTATAATCATGAGAATTTTATTTTATCTAATAATGTAGCAAATTGTAATGATTATATTCATTTAACAGAACAATAATTTAATTAATTATAAGCTGTTAGTCTAGACCATTCAAATTTGATTTCTGAAAATTATACTATGATAAATAAATGCGAGAAAACATTAACGAGTTTGAGAAATTAATCCAAATAATGCAGATGTATTAAGTTATTGTAATTTAATTTATAGCATAATGAACAGGTACGAAGAATCACTAGTAAATCTAAATAAATTATTAGAAATTGATCCAAATAGTGCATTTGCATTAGTAATTCGTGGAGAAATTTATCATATAATGAATAGATACTAGAAGATTTAAATAAGTCTTTAGAAATTGATCCAATTAATACATCGGTGTTAGCAATTTGCAGAATAAATTATTATATAATGAGCAAACTAGGGATTGGAACCACCTAAAATTTTTCTTAATCATTTAATCATTTAATCGTTTAACCATTTAATTTGACCAGCATTAAGATAATTCTGGTCCACGACCAACATAATTCTGCCCGGAATTATGGAGCAATTTTTAAACTGTTAAACGGTTCCAATCCCTAGAGCAGACATGAAGAATCATTAGCAGATTTAAATAAATCATTGGAGATCGATTCAAATTATATATTTGCATTAGAGCAATATGATATAACTTATCGCATAATGAATAGATATAAAGAATCATTAGCAGATTTAAATAAATCATTATAAATTGATCCAAATGATGCATTTCATTAAGGCAGCATGGAGAAACTTATCACATAATGAATAGATACGAAGAATCACCAGCAGATTTAAATAAATTATTAGAAATTGATCCAAATAATGCATTTGTATTAGAAAGCTATGGAGCAACTTATAGCTTGATGAGCAGATATGAAGAATCACTAGCAAATTTAAATATATCATTAGAAATTAATCTAAATAGTGCATTAGCATTAAGACATAGTGGAGAGTAATGAACAGATACGAAGAATCATTAACAGATTTAAATAAATCATTAGAAATTGATCCAAATAATGCATTTGCATTAAAACAACGTGGAGAAACTTATCGCATGATGAAAAAATACAAAGAATCACTAACAGATTTAAAGTTTAGCGTGCTTTAAACTTAAAACTTGAAAAGACAAGCACAAACACGTTCGCAACAATTCAGCTATATGAAAAAAAAGAAAACATAAGACAGTTATATACCCAATATAAATAATCAACCCAACAAAGATGACTTTAAACTCTAAGAAAGACACTTTATTAAGGTTACAGGAGCTCGGTCACCAAGGGCTGGGTAACAATAACCTCAAATCATACCTACCAGATGCCAAGATAGTAGATCATAGCTTTGCCGATTAGGTTCCAAAGTTTAATGATAATCGTTAATCAAAATATGCTTGTATAAGCCACAACTGCTATCAAAAGGTGTGTTCGAATATATTGTAGAATTCATTTGATGACCATTCCCAAGCTTTGAGTTAATAGTAGCTATACATCTTGTAGTACTTATCTGTAGTGTCACCGGCTAATGCCAATTATACATCAAACGCACTGATGTATGCTCTATATCTCTTTAATAAAGTTTAAATATCCAGCGCTTTTAGTGCTTGAATGCATCCAACAAATATATTATATGCGTGCAGTTCTTTTTGTGCTTTTGCGATATAATCTGATTTATGCACAGATTATGCTATTGCAAATCGGCGATATCTCTACTCAGGTAAACCTATGATTTTGATGTGACTTTAGTGAGGGTAGTTTTATATATACATTATATAGATGGTAAATAAAAAATTGTGATAGTGACTATAGAGCAATTGTGTTTATATAAAGGTATAAATAATATAAAAATAATTGGTAAAAAAATTAATGTGATTATATTGATTATGTAACTATAGAGGAGGTGACTATAGAGGGGACAACTGTACTTATATATATGAGTGTTGCTAAAAGAAAACCCAAAAATTTAAATATAACTTATATTAAATTTTTAGTTTTCTCTTAATGACATTTATATAATAAAAATTTTCTGGGTGGCTCAAAATTTTCTAGATTATATTTTAATTGATCAATTTACATAAAGCTATAAGATAATTTTAATATTAAAATTTTAACTAATATTTAAAACTTCATATCTTACTAAGTTTTTAACTAATTTTAATAAATTTATTATCTTTAGAATCAGAAAAACATACACTACAAGCTTCATATCTATATATTTAAAAACACTAATAGTTATACAATTTATGCACTATCACATTTAAAATAACAAGTATATATTGTTGGTTTATTTCTAAAATGTTAAGTGAAAATATTTCAGCAATCATTTATGAAATTCGATGAAATATTTTTATTTTAATTCTATAAATATGCAGAATTAAAATAAAAGAGCATGAATTTTGTTAGGTGGTTTTGAAATAAAAAATAGATGCATGGGATATCACAATAATAATTACATTTCTAAATCTAAACCGTCAGCAAAGTGATGGGTTACTTCTAGTAATAGTTAATTAGTTTACTTAATAAAAATTTTCATAAAATTGAATATAAAAAAATTTGCTATTAAGTTTATTAATAGTACTCTCCACCATTAAAATGAATAAAAAGTGTTGTGCAATTTATCGCATGCGTGTTATTAAATGTTTTGTCTGATTTTTTGAAAGAAATGTAAGTGACAAAATATTATATTATTTATATATACATACATTCTAGTAAACATATTGCAAAAACATTTTTTAAAAAGTTATACGAGATAAAAAATTGTACATTTTATATTATACATTAACATATTTATTTTGGTTTTTATAATGTTACTATTTGCACTTCCCTCTTTAAAATTTTATTAATACCCAAATAAATTTTGCGATTTGATAACCAAAATTTTGCAGATCACTGTAACGGCATTTTTAATTTTTTTTTTTTTTTACTAATGTTTTAAAAATAGTGATATAAACAGAGTGACATGTAGTGTAGTGATATCATGGGCGGTTAGATATAAGCGGAATTTTGCAGCATAGTCGACCACGCACACTGTCTTTGTTATTTAAGATTAAATAGGATAATATATTCAATCAAATATGTCTAATAGAAATAAATTACATAGATGAAGATACTTTTTGGCTGAAGGTTCATTATTCAGAAATTGAACCAAAACTAACTCTAATGTTTGGATACCGAAATCTTGGTTAAGATATTGACTTTTAACCGTATATTAACTAACTCCTAATTATGCCACCTTTATCTATAGCAATTCTGATTAAAACAAATAATTATACGGGTTCAACACTATGCATGTCGAATCATAAACCAAGTAAACTAATTTGATCTATTAAATATACTGTACTTAGGAAGAAAAATAAAGAACTTATTCCCTCACGTAATTTCCTTAATGTCTTGCCTGAGGAACTACAATTTATAAGTTTTGACACTGCAATAAATCTCGGAAAAAAAGAATTTGCAACTGGTATTACATTCATAGATGCATCGCAGGTCTGTAAATTTGCTGACCTCCTTTTTAATGATGCTTTTTTCTTTTACAGATTACGAATATTAGGGTAAACATGCATTTACAACAAAGAATCGTAGAACAAAATTGTTTTCTTTATAGATGTAATCTTATAAGTAATATCTAGCAATTTATAAAATTTAAATATTATTCTAAAGGAAAGTTATATTTATAACACCGTGTTATATAACACCTTATGCAATATCTCAAAAATGTACTAAATAAACGTGATCGGGTACTCTAAGTAAAAATGTTCAGGACCCAAAAACCTCACGAGAACTGAAATCGGGACCTATTGGGACCTTATATCTAAATATATATAGTATAATAAAAAAAAACACCTATTTATCTTATATATCTTAAAACTGGACTCTAACCCTAAGTGAAACTATATAGGTGCTATATAACATGGGTGTTATGAATATAATATTCCTATTTTAAATTTAGTTCCAAAGTGTAAGACCTAAGAACTAGAGCTCCAGCACACAAAACGTTGCCGTTTTTCTAGCAAATATCTGATTTTTTTAATCTAATAAAATATAAAAAGTAAAAAAAAATTTATATAGTATAAAAGCTTTATGCCGTTCGATTGATTTTATAATAATAATTAAACATTCGGATAATTTTTATATAGTTACCTATTATAATTAATATTAATATGTTTCACTCACAATGCTTTTGAATTTGTAATTTTTGCCGTTTTGAAGGGTTTGATATATTCTCATCTGCAAATTAAAATAATTGTCAGCCTTTATTATAATCGTATTTGCAAATTATTATATAAAGAGAATTTACCAACTGAAAGAGTTTCTCCGAATGCTCTTGTCACATAATCAGAATCTTTTTGTGTATAAATGGTTATTAAAGCATATAAAAAAAATCAACATATTTATTAATTTTATTTTGAAAAATAAATTACCTTCATCCTTTTCATCGACAGTAACCTTTAGCTGTTGCAATTGGCCTATAGATTTTGCTATTCTTCTACTAAATTCTAAATGCATGACATCATAAAATTAAGAAACGTCGACTTTCTAAAAAAAATTGATTAAAAATAATTAAAATTTCTTACCTGACTCTGATATAGCAAATTTGTCATTTCCACTATACTCTATAACTAAACAATTCGACCGATAAACTTTGGATATTATTTTCCGTATAAACATGCAAGAGAATTACCTTTTTCGTTCGGTGGATGTGGTAACAATCTACTTATATAAACAGCTTTAGGATGCGACTTAATAATCCTACATCCTCTAGTATTACCTCTATTTTGCGGTAAATTAATTGCATACTCATCATCTTCCAAACATTCCCAATACTTTTTATTTATCAACAATCTGATATCTAAAATGTCTGGTCGATTTTCAGGCTCATTATCCCAACATTTTTCCATCAAATCAATATACCATTCTGGAGTTTCCTCAATATTTATAGTTGGTCTTTTTCCTAGGCATATGTCCATGATTAAATGACCATCATGTGGTATATCATAAAATGGAAGTTTTCCAACTAAGACTTCCCACATAATAATTCCAAAACTATAAATGTCTGAAGATTTGGTATAAAAATGTTTTCTACGTAATATCTCTGGCGCTATGTAAGGTAACACACCATAGATATCCTTACTTTTTGAAGGTTTGTCTATTGGTCTACATAATCCTAAATCAGTCACAAAAGTTCGCATTGTGCCGTCTTTAAGAGTGTGCAGTAATAAATTTCCACTGTGAAGGTCTCGATGTATTAAGTTTACAGAATGAATTACTTCTAAACCTAATGCTATATCCCTTAAAATTCTTAGTTTTTGACCCCAACTTAATAGACGGTAATTGTATGTAAAATAGTGACGTAGATCTCCACCGTTGGCGTATTCCATTACCATCATGTAATTGTTTGATTCTTTGTGCTGGGTTATTCCATAACAATGAAGTACACGACCATTGCGACATTGATAATACATCTTTAACTACAAAACAATAAAATATTGTATGTCCATTTATTTAATAATATATCATATTAATATTAATTAACGAACAAATGATAGCAGAAATTAAATACTTCATCCAAAAAATTTGCGGTAAGATTTTCAGAGTTATGTAAACATTTCAAAGCTACTGGTGTTTTAGCTAAAAGTCGCAAACTATAATTTGAGTGACTTGTTTTAAAACAATATCTTTTCAATGAATTTATTTAGATCTTACTTTCTTTTCTCCATTTGCATTTTTCTTCTTCATAAATTAGAACTTTATTTGGTCCATAAATCCAAATTCCATAATAAACTTCACCATATCCACCTTTTGCCAAATATTCTATATCTTCAAACTCACTATAATCAATCCAAACCAAATAATCATATTTACTTGTGGCATTAAGTTGAGTATCTCTTATGATTTTGTCTAAATATGAATTTCCGCTTGTCCAATTATTAAAATTATTTGAAAACTTTTGAGATTCGCAGAAATTACACCATCGATCGTTTGTTCTAGGTCGCGAGCATTCTGGGCATAAGTAATCTACATCGAATTCTTCTTCACTATCATCGAATTCATTATCACTAAATTCATTATCACTAAATTCATCTGAGGTGAGCTTGACGCTAGAATCAGAGGTATATGAAGTTATTGAAGATTGGGTTAAATTTGCACTTGACCTCTCTGATGATGAAGACGTTACGGATGGAGTTGAATTCATGTTTAATATATTTCAGTCAATGAATGCACAATATACGATTTGTTAAGATAAAACATTTTTTTTTTTACGCATTGAACACTTATTATATACGTACTATTATATATGTACTGTACGTACGTGAGTACATACACAACTTTATACTTTGTGTATATATCTTAAATTAGAATGTGGTAAAACTAAGATCCTAATTATGGCCAATATATATAATCCGGGAGGTCAGACTATTTAAGGATTTAGTTTAAAACCCATCAGTGAAACCCTCATACTGTATATATTTATTATAGATTTATAAAAGTTTTTCCTTCGAATTGTTAAAATTAAACTTTAAAATTTAAAATCAGAGCTTAGGTTAAAGTCAGAGATTATGGTTTTCTAAGTGCTAAGCATTTTACTTAGCACACAGAATACCAATTATTAAAGCCGTTGCTGTGAAATATTTTACCGCCGGTAAGCATTACAGCTGTTATCATAATTTCCGGAAAACCTGATAAAAATTAGCCGAATAATTTCTCGGCCGATTAATATGCATAATTAAAGGTCTGGTAACTAATGTAAATATTACATATTACGTACAGTACGTACGTACGTACGTACATATCAGATATATCTCTGGTTGAATACAGAAATATGACACTTTCAAAGCATCTTCATTGGTAAATCATCGAAAAAATTTAGGATTCTCAAGCACTTTCAAAAATATGGATCCAAATACCCAGGTGCTGTATATTCTCTATAATTCAGATTCTCGAGCACTTTCAAAAATATGGATATATTGAAAAATTTCCGTCACTTTCAGGGAAAACCACATTCATTAAACTGAACGATATAAAACTTTAATGAAAAAACCTGAATGAAACTTTGGTTAAACGTAAATTTAGTCATATAACAGTTTAGTCTATAAATAATCTTGGATATACAAAGAAACAGCAATGTTTTATATGTATTAATATTAACGTAATCGTGTAATGTGTTTATTATAAGAGTCTAATTTATGTCTTGTCATTTTGCTAATATTTATTAGCTGACAAGAGCAGTCTTTCCATAAATTTTCGTACAAACTAAACACACCAAACATTTTGACAAACATTCTGACGAAATTTTAATAATGTTGGCATTACTGTTATAATTATCTGCAAACCAATAGCTATGATACTAAAATAACTTATACGAATCATGCCAAAATCACTAACTTATCCGAAACGTCCGAAAAATGATTCGTCTAATTTTATTTGGTGTTCCAGAAAATATGATAAAAGCTGTAAAAATGCACGATCGGGCGTAAAATAAACATGCACAAACATTTCTGTTGCATTACACGTTAATCGGAGTGTAAATACCATGGTATCACAGCTAACGGTGGGACCCAAATATAGTAGTTTGGGGAACATGCCATATTGGGGTATTTCAAATACTAATTAGGCAATGCTACTACGGTTAGATTTTATGCATAAAATTGATCATACATCTTTACTAGTAAAAAAAAAGCGTTTAAAAATTTGGTATATTTCATGTACGTACGTACGTATAAGTAATTTTTTCTAGCAATTTTTGTAGCAAACAATTGGCACAATATAGCCAAATAAAGTTACGATTTAAAAATTTTAATTAATCGATCATTTTTGATTGTTCCATGAGTAGGAATTTTTTTCTTTTGTTTCGCTATATATGCCCTGGCTAAATGATGAGCGTTTTCATGAATTAGTCTTGATAATCAAAATTTTAAATCGTGATTATGTGAAGAGGTTTTTATGTAAAATTTTATTAAAAGTTATGATGATATTTTTAATGCTGGGCTATTTTCAAATCCACTTTTATGATCGTTAAACATTTTAATCATGAGTATTAAGAATTGGCTTTGATAACAGAAAATTTAAAAATCATGTGTAAAAGAGTTTCTTATCATATTATAGGTAAAGCTTCATTGTAAATTTTTGTAATAGCTTTAATGCTGGATCTTTGAAGATTCGGTTAAAAGAATATTGCCGGGTACATTAGGACATGGGTGCAAAAATATTAGATAATAGTAAAAATCTGTACTACGTAGTAATTTTTATTATAATACCTTATATAGACTTGATCATTTAATACGTACGTACGTACGTACAGTATATGAAATACCCCACTGCTGTATTAAGGTGTCACCAATTAGTTTAACTATAATATAAACTATTTTTTTTAAATATTGGTTTTAAATA